GGGGGGGGGGGGAAGCCAGCGGATCCCGAGCATAATTCCTTCCAAATTTGAATGTTACTTCGCTATGCCGAGCGCGTCATCGTATTTATGAATTATGGATGACTTTACTGCTAAACACTGCCCCTCCCACCCCACCTTCTTTGTAATCGTCAGTGTTTTACCGTGACGTCTCTCGTAGCTGTGACCCAGGTCAGGATCCTCGAGCGTTATCGGCCGATGCCGAGGAGACTCGTCTTCTTGGCTTTCGCTCCGTCGATAAAACAGTTTTTCATCCCCGCGCGATCGCGTCCCGGGGCCTTCGTTCGATGCTCCACGTGGGTATCGAATAGTTAATACCGACGCCGGACGTCGTCGTGGTCGTTTGGGAAAATCTATATGCTCGTGCAATTAATTGCGCGTTATCGTGTAAATTCATTGGGAATAATTGTAATTGTAAATTGATACGAATAATCGTTGTCGTTCGCACGACTCTGATAAGGTATCGTGTTTCGCGCGTCGCGCACCATCAATATCAGCTGTTACGATGATATTTACTTGACAGTGAAAAAAAAATGTTTTTTTTTTTTTTTTTTTCACATTCATCCCACTAATCTATCGTCGTCAAACTCGTCTGTCTAGTTTCTACGCGCTTACGCGTTTCTCGCTTAAATATTTTCGTGCTCTCTGTTCTCACTTACAGACCCAAGATATGGACATTTGCAGTGCCCCTTGTTGCCGGTACGCGTGTACCCCGGGCAAGCCAGTCTCTACTGGTACCCCGAGGTAAACCTGTACTTTTCTGTCTGTACTTTATACTGTGTACGTATCCGTATCCAGGCACTGCAGGAGGGGATATGCTGTCTGGACACGGATACATGATACAGGGTGTCCGAGAAGTCTCGTATCAGATATATACTGTGGTAAAATTTTGAGAAAAAAAAAAGAATCGGTAATTAAATTTTTCAATTTCGCGAGTACTTTTTTCTTCCGAATTTCATCGCGATTACAGCGGCATATATCTGATACGGAACTCTTCGGACACCTTGTATACATCCACGCACCTCCTACAGAGGAGGTAGATGGCTCGTTTCGATTGGATCGAAACGAGTCGCACGTTATCCAACTTGAAGCCGATGCAGTCCAATACGTAGGAAACGCTAATAGCAAGTTCTCGTATATTCTGTTGCAGATTGGGTGATGGGGCTTCGTGGAGCCGAGATTTACTATGAGTTGAGGCCTCGTAATTAATCGTGAGTATAATGACACACGTTACTTCGCACACACTCTGTATACCGAACAATAACTTAGGAGTGACGCAATTATTAATACCCGTTTCACGTGTTTTTTTCGCGCTATTTATAGAAATTTCGTTTTTGTTAAATCAATGCTCCTCGCTCGTCCACGACCTCGTCGTGCAAACGTAGCGTTGCCCGGGGGGCCGTGACGCTGATTTTTTGGAAATTCGCGCGTCGCGCCAAAATACCTTCGGGCTCGCGAACGACCGTCCGAGGTTACTCGTCCAGCGCGCACTTCCGGACTTTGTATTCTGCGCGGGGAGAGGTATGGTTGGCAGCCCTGTTATCCCTTGGATATATGTGTATGTATATAGATATACAGTGTGTACTCGTGACGGTTAGAGAGTCGAGGGATGGTTTTGCTCCGCTGGCTCTGTATTGATTGCTACTCCTCCTTTCGTTTCTCTCTCTCTCTGTCTCTCTTCAGCCTCCTTCCACCCCACTTCTACCACCCCTTCGTACTCTCCTGTCCTTCCCACCCGCCACACCAACTCGAACCGTAATGTCGGGTTTCGCTCTGCCTCGGCCAGCAACGCCAGCAGCAGCAGCAGCAGCAACGAGAGTGGAGCTTTGGCGTTTTCTTCCCAGGACCGAAATTGCCTGCTGCCTTTTGCCCTCCGGGATCTTCCTGGCTCGACTTCCTGGTTTGGCTTCTCTTCGCCAGCTCCTCGACGGGCATATGGAAATCGAATGGTCTCGGTTTGATGAACCTCAATGGCTCGTACGTTATGCAGTTTACGGAGAATTTCGATCCACGCTTGGTCGCTGTGATATGACGGAGTGTGGGGGAGGGGGAGGGTTAAC